TAACAACAGCAACAATGGACTGCTATTGCATGCCACTACAAAAGTAAATTTTATCGCCCAGACAAAACAAGCTATAAGATTTTTTTTTCATTGCTTACATTTGTTGTTCTGTTTGTGCCCACATTTTCAACGTTCCCTATACTAGGAGGTGTTTTGCAGTAATAAAAGTCATCTGCACTCCGGCGAGCTAAATGTCTCAGACGTTTGTATTCAAATGACTCTATGTTATTCTTACCATTACATAAAGTTCTAAGGGCATTACAGCACTCATTGCTTTACAAAAAGCGGTAAAATTGTTTTTCATTTTTCCTTAACAGACACCGTCACAATGTGGGTGAAAGCTTTTGTACTATACTTACCTTAATTGTTGTAACACTCCAGGATATTTTGAAGAGAAGTGTTTGCGTTTGTAATTCAAGTTTCTTTGTAGAACATTTTCCTGTCTCTTTAATTGCTGTTCTTTCTCTTACAATTATTTTTCTCATGACCTTTATAACATACATTCCAACTAAGCTGTTAACAAACGCTGTTAATAAAATTCTCCCAACTCTGTTAGCGTTATGTTATGCCCATCACTGTTATTCTCAACATTCACAACATCGACATTCTCTGGAAAGGATTGGATGTGGGACGAATTTTAAATGGGAGAACCAAAGAGAATATTTAGAGTTCAAGAGAAAGACTTATATTTCCAATGCCATAAAACTTCGGTTAGTTAATAATGTGAAGTGAAGAACCCGCAATAACACATACGATTTGTCAAGGAAAAAATCAGTTTTAAAATGAGAAATACTATTTTTATCAACGTGATGGAAAACAATCATCGAATTGAACACTTGAACTATATTAAAAAAAAAAAAATTTCAAAATTTGGTCAACCGTTATTTATTTAAATTTTAGCTTCAAAATACTTAAAATTTTTCATCTAATTTTGAAACAATGCAGTAAATTCTTTCTTTATGTATTCCGACCAAACCGGATAATTTTAATATTTACTTTGAGACTCATATTTTCAACAAACAAAAAACATTCAGAACTTTTTCGAACAATAAATAAAAATATAATATAATAATAAAAAAAAATAATAATAAATAATTTGTATAGTAGACATTCGATGTGAGTAGTCGGTTCGTTGACGATTGCTTCATATCGTTTTTGGTAAGGGTAGCCCTTAAGAAAGACTTCTTACAAACTAACAGACGTGAATTACTGCAATAAAAACTTAAATATATAGTTTTTCGCTACTTACACCTATTTACACAATTCCTGTGGTCTTGTTATCGGCGCCAAAACGAAACAAATAAAAATGCAGCCGAACTTTTAATACCCTCCACCTTGAAGTATCGTTATATGGGGGCTATACGAATATGTGGACTTCTGTGGATTTTCAGACAATTCCATTGAAAAATGTGTCGAATGTCGAGAGGTACCGTTACATTGGGTATATACGACGTCGTGGACATCCTCGAACTTGACCTACTGCACGAACTTGACTATCTTAGTTCGTTTTGACTCTAGCGTAATTACAATAGACGGTCGGACATGGTTAAATCGTCTACATGATACCCCACACCACTATGCATATTTAGAACCTTATTTGAATGCGAATCATGGCTTTTTTCAACAAATTTTACGGAGGCTTTTGTACGTTTAGAACCAAATAACATTGCTGTATGATATGTAGTCGATAAGAATTATCTTAAAAAAAATATTTATTGGAGCAAAAGATATACGGGGCCGAGTTTCAGCAAATACTAAAATTCGGTTAAATGAACAAATCTATTCAATTTGGGCTGAAATTACATATACGGTGGACAATAACCGTATATTCAGATGAAGATGTATATCGAAAGTATATGAGAATCTGAAACGATCTCGGAAAAAAAGTTTGCCAGAGGTTTTTTCGAGTTATAGCTATATCTAAACCGATTTTCTCCAAATTTTATGTATTTGCTTCTAGAGCTGTGGTCTGATGTGCCAAATTTCAGTCTATTTGGGCTGATTTTAGCCTGAATCGGATAAAGATATAAATATACGGATGTGAGTGACTTAAAAGCCCAAATCGGATGAAGCATGTATATGAGAGCTATATCTATGGCTGAACCGATTGTCACCAAATCTGATGTACTTGGATAAACTCAGTTGGAGTTGCCAAAATTCAGCCCATTTGAGCTGCTTTGGTGCATGATAAACCTGAAATCGGATACAAATATATATGTGGGAGCCATATCCTAATCTGATCAGATCTCCATAAAATTTGACAGAGGTATTTTTGAGCTCCGTAAGATATTTAGTATCAAATAACATTCTTGTGAAGTGCACATTACACATGTGAGGGACTTAAAATCCCAAATTGTGAACTGATTTTCTCCAAATTTGATGTACTTGCTTCTAGACTGAATTTGGTCGGATGTACCAAAATACAGGACTTTTGGCCAGATATGGGCCATTTGCTGCACTATTAACCGGAAATCGGTTGAATATATATATGGGAGCTATATCCAAATCTGGTATTAAATATCATTCTTGTCAAATGCATATCACGAATGTGAGGTTCTTAAGCAAGAAATCGGATGAAACATACATATGGGAGCTATAGCTATATCTGAAGCAATTTTATGTGCTTGCTTCTAGACTGAATTTCGTCGGATGTGGCAAAATTCAGGTCATTTGGACTGATAGTTGCCATTTGGTGCACAATTAAACCGAAATCGGTTGAAGATATTCAATATTTAATAAGTAATTTACATGATACAAAAAAAGTCCAAATAAATAAAATGCAATCGGGTATGTCGGGGGTACATAGTATATTATCTCCTGTAGTCCAGTATTAGAGAGACCTATAAATTCTTTATCCATCAACCCTATCATGTATAAACCTATTAAAATATAGTTTCATAGCAAACACCAAGTCAATACTACGCTTCCACTCCCTAAGCCTCTCCATCATGACAAGGTGCATAGATAAAACTAGTAAAGAAAGTCTTAAAGTAAGGCGGGGCCGACTTTATCATACCCTACACCACTTTGCTAATTTAGTAGAGCTCCGCATACCAATTAAAAGTTTTTATGGGAGAATTCAATCATACACGCTATGATTATATTTATAATTTAAAGTTCAAAGGATTAAATATGCCGAAGCATTCTTATCTTTTAAATTCGGACTTGTATTGCCCATTTAGTACACAATTAATTTGAAATCGGATAAAGACATATATGGGAGCTATATCCAAATCTGAACCGATCTCGATAAAATTTAGCAAATGTATTTCTGAGCTGTATTTGATATATTTCCTTAAATATTGTTGTTACAGAGTGCATATTACGGCTGCGGAGGGCAAAAATAACAAATCGGATGAACAATATATATGGGAGCTATAGCTACATCTGAACCGATTTCGATAACATTTGGCATACTTATTTTCAGGCCTAATTTGGTTGTATGTGCAAAATTCCATACTATTCGGGCTGATATTACACGTTTGGTGCACAATAAAAGGCAAATCGGACGAAGATATATATGGGAGCTATATCTAAATTTTGACCGATTATCTCCAATTTCAATAGGGTTCGTCCTTGGACCAAATCAATGATTTGTGCAAAATTTCATCTGGATAGGGCAAAAAATGCGAACTGTACTTTGTTTCCAAAAATACGGACGGACATGCATAAATCGACTCAGAATGTGATTCTATGCAGATTATCAAAAGGAACTATGGGTCTATCGGAAACTTTAAAAGCAAATGCACAAACACATAATACCCTGACCACGTTGTGGTGTAGGGTATAAATAGATCGTAGTACTTTCCGATATAATAGAAACCTTAATTCGGAAGTAAGACCTTTATGCAACTTCAACAACCATTTATAGCTAATGTAGATTTTTTACCTATATCCAGTATGTTCTTTAAAATCTAAACTCTTGTGAAACATGATTCCAAGGTATTTTATCTTGTCCTGCGGTGCATAATGTTGCTGAAATCATCAAATTACCGAATATCGGGTGGTACCGTTATATGGGGGCTTTACTTTAAAACATGGACCGACATGGCCCATTTACAAACATAACCTACCTACTGGTAAACTAACTTTAGCCTTCTGTCTTCATTCGTTCGAATTATCCAGAATATATATACTTTTCTATTTTCAATACGTCGAGGAGTTACAAACGGAATGACAAAGCTAATATACCCTCCACAGAATGCTGAAGGTTATAAAAATTTAAAAAATAATCTCTGGAATCTTTAACGCCTTCATATGACCCCTCATTGTCTATTGACTCACTAGATCTAATGCCTTCATATGATCTATAGGAGATATAAGCATTATTTGTCTGCACTTAGTAGTAATTCAATATTCTCATTTCCTGCGGGGTTCATCGACTTTCATCAAATAGTAATTTGGGTAAAAGGTGACAATCCATCATTAACAATTGCAGCCATCGAACTTTACACCGCGAAGATTGCCAGAGAGATTATTTCGATAAAAATTCAGTTATTTCTATGTATAGCATTTTCAGATGATGAAAAATAATGTGATTAAAAATAATTGCAATGATTCGAAGAATCTCTTTCAATAAGGTATAATTACGTTATAACAATATTGATTGTTTATGGCTAAATCGACTTTTAATAGCGAAAATATTGAATATAAATTACCAGACCCAATGACGACTATTATTAAACATAATTCGTGATGCGAAATTTCCTAAATTTAATTTGTATTTTCAAAAATTTCTCAAATGCATATGATTTATTTTTAATTGGCAATCTTTCAAAATGTCTGTAAAATAAAACTCACAACAAGCTCATGGATCAGTTGCAACTATGAACTACCTTTGGATACTTTTGCTTTTGTCATTTTACATCCAACTAAACAGCTCCGCAGTACGATTTACAAACCTAAAATGTGAAACATTTCATCCCGACTTTGTTTCCTATGAAGTATGCAGTCTGAGAGTAATTAACCGAGGTGTTATTGGCCTAAGTATTTATGCCAAGATGTGGCAACTACCCGTTAATAATATTTCGGTAACAAAACTCAAAATTATTTGATTTGATTCTAAAAAGTTATTTTAACTTTCCATTTCACTAACTTTCAGATCAATTTGAGTCTTTTTAAGAAACTGAATGGCTACAGACCCTTTCTTTACAATTTCAGTGTAGATATGTGTAAATTTTTCAAAAATCCCAAAAAGTATCCTTTTGTTCAGCTATACCATCATATCATTGTCAATGAATCGAATATAAATCATACTTGTCCTTACAATGTAAGTACTTATTTGTGAGTATTAAGTTGCAACAAAATTAAATAATTCCATTGCATTTCTTTCAGCACGACTTAATTGTTAAGGATGTGTTTCTACATGAAAGCAAATTTAAAAATTTACCATTGCCCCGTGGTGAATATCGTTTCGATTTGAAAGTTAGTGCCTACAATGATTTGAAAGGAGAGATTAAAGCTTATATTGATATAAGCAGTGATTTGTGACACTAGTGATTTTTGTATATCAGTAACTGTAAATAAAATTTATATCGTAATTTATTAAATTGTTTGTTCGTATTAATATAACCAAATATTGGAATAATAACATTATCGATATTATAATAAAATTTTCACAATAAATTGTAGTAATAACAAGTAATAAAGCAGTAAGTTCGGCCGGGCCGAGCTTTGAATACCCTCCACCATTTGGAACGAATTAGAAAATTTTCAAAAAAATAAAATCCATTAAAAATTTTGTTAAAATCTTTAAAATACCTAACTCCGGAAGGTGCCTATATATGGGGGGATATACGATATTGTGGACCTATATAGACAATTCTATGTTCGGGGGTAAAGCACTCATAAAGAACTCGTTGTGTAGAATTTTAAACAATTCCGTTGAAAAATGTGGCTAAACTCATAAAAATACCGAATATCGTGGGGAACTGTTATATGGGGGCTATACGATATCGCGGACCTAAATAAATAATTATCTTCCAGGGGATAAAGTACTCACAAAGAACTCCTTGTGTGAATTTTCAGACAATACTATTAGAAAATGTGGCTAAAATCATCAAGATCGGGTACCGTTGTATACTGGTTTATACGATATTGTGGACCTATATAGACAATTCCCTTTCAGGGAATAAAGGGCTCACAAAGAACTCTTTGTGTAGAATTTCAGATAATTCCGTTGAAAAATGTGTCTGAAATCATCAAAATACCGAATATCGGGGGGGGGGGGGGGGGTACCGTTATATGGGGGCTATAGGATATCGTGGACCTATATAGATAATTCTCTTTCATGGGGTAACGTGCTCACAAAGAACTTCTTGTGTAGAATTCCATTGAAAAATGTGCCTAAAATGATCAAAATACTGAATATCAGGGAGAACCGTTATATGGGGGCTATGCGATATCGTAGACCTATATAGATAATTCTCTTCCAAGGTATAAAGTTCTCACAAGGGTCTCCTTGTGTGAAATTTCAGACAATTCCGTTGGAAAATGTGGCTAAAATCATCAAAATACCGAATATCGTGGGGTACCGTTATATGTGGGATATACGGCATCGTGGACCTATAGGCAATTCTCTTTCAGGGGGTAAAGTACTCACAAGGGCCTCCTTGTGAGGAATTTCAGACAATTCCGTTGGAAAATATGGCTTAAATCATCAGAATACCGAAAATCCGGGGTACCGTTATATGGGGGCTATACAATATCGTAGACCTATATAGATAATTCTTTTCCAAGGGATAAAGTACTGCTATATGATATGGTAGACCTATATATAATTCTCTTCCAAGGGATAAAGTACTATCAATGAACTTCTTGTGTGGACTTTCAGACAATTCCATTGAAAAATGTGGCTTAAATCATCAAAATACCGAATATCGGGAGGTACCGTTATATGGGGGCTATAGGATATCGTAGACCTATATAGATATTTCTCTTTAAAGGGATAAAGTGCTCCCAAGGAACTCCTTCTGTGGATTTTCAGACCATTCCATCAGAAAATGTAGGTAAAATCATCAAAATACCGAATTTGGGGGTACCGTTATATGGGGGCTATAGGATATCGTAGGCCTATATAGATAATTCTCTTTAAAGGGATAAAGTACTCCCAAGGAACTCCTTCTGTGGATTTTCAGACCATTCCATCAGAAAATGTGGGTAAAATCACCAAAATACCGAATTTGGGGGGTACCGTTATATGGGGGCTATAGAATATCGTAGGCCTATATAGATAACTAGCTGAACCCGGTGCGCTTCGCTACCCCTTTTTATTTTATATGCATTCAAAATTGTATTTACGAATATATGTTGGACAAAAAACAACAAATTTAAAAATTAAAAAAAAAAATATATTGCACTACTTTAATGCGTTAATAAACAAAACCATTCGAAACGCAGTAACATGACATGCATACACGAAGGGTTTGTCCTTTGGTTTTGTTTATTTCATAGCAAATACCAAGCGTGCAGGAAACTGTAATTTTTTGAAGATGAGTGGCATTTCTATTGCAATTAGTGAATTCGAGGTAGCAATATACTTCCCCGTAATAAGCGTATTTCAAATTAATTGTTGTGTTGTGTTTTAGTGTTAGCCTAAGACGTTGTGGGTCAATGGTTTTTATTAAAATCATATCAATCTGATCCGATTTAAATATAATTTTAAAAATTTACTTTTGCACCAAATTCCCCCACACCTTTCATATTTCATTGAAATTGGTGCGTCAAATATATGAAATCGGCCGAGAATATATATATATGGGAGCTATATCCAAATCTTAACTAATTTCCAATAAATCTATCACATTTATTATTGTAACCAAATTCCGTCACACATTCTGAATTTCATTGGAATCGGTCATATATATCGGGTTTGGTGCATAACATATATGAAGTCGGCCGAAATATATATGTTAGCTATACCCAAACCTCAACCGATTTCAATATAATTTGGCAATTTTTTTCTGGTGCCAGATTTCGTCTCTCTCGCTTTGGATGCATCAAATATGTGAAATCGGCCGAGAATATATATGGGAGCTATAATCAAATCTGAGTGAATTTGAAAACAATTTGTCAGATTTATTTTTGTACCAAATTTAGTCACTCATTGCGAATTTCATTGGAATTCGAAATACGTATGTTGTTTTGTGCATCAAATATGTAAAATCGGCAGAAAAATATATGGGAGCTATATCCAAATCTGAACCGATTTTAATATAATTTGACTAATTTATTTTCTAATCAAAATCCCGTCACATATTCCAAATTTTTTTAGAATCGAACATACATATCGTGTATGGTGCATAAAATACATGAAATCGGTCGAAAATATATATGAGAGCTATATCCAAATCTGAACCAATTTTAATATAATTTGAATAATTTATTTTCTAATCAAAATCCCGTCACACATTCCCAATTTCGTGGAATCGAACATACATATCGTGTTTGGTGCATCAAATAAACGAAATCGATTGAAGATATATATGGGTGCTATATCCAAATCTGAACCGATTTCAATATAATTTGACGAATGTATACTCGTTTTAATTTCCGCTACACATTCCAAATTTCATTGAAATTAGAGATACATAGCGTGTTTGGTGCATCAAATACATGAAATCGGTTGAAAATATATATGGGATATATATCCAAATCTGAACCGATTTCAATATAAGTTGACAAATTCATTTTTGATCCAAATTTCGTTACTTATTTTAAATTTCATTAAAATTTGATATACATATCGTGTTTGGTGCACCAAATACATGAAATCGGCCGAAAATGTATATGGGAGCTATATCCAAATCTGAACCGATTTCAATATAATTTGATAAATTTATTTTCGGATCAAATCCCGTTAAACATTTCAAATTTCATTGGAATCGAACATTCATATCGTGTTTGAGGCATCAAATGAAGGAAATCAGTCGAAAATATATATGGAAGCTATATCCAAATCTGAACCGATTTCAATATAATTTGGGAAATCACTTTTTTAGATAAAATCCATCACACGTTTCAAATTTCATTGAAATTTGGGATATTTAGCGTTTGGCGCATCAAATGCTTGAAATCGGCCGAAAATATATATGGGAGCTATATCCAAATCTGAACCGATTTCAATATAATTTGGCAAATTTATTTTTGTTCCAAATTCCGTTACGCATTCCAAATTTGGAGACTGTATCTGTAATGGATCAATAGATATGTGCATACAAATTCTAAATTTTTGGGAGGTACCTCCGATTCTGATGCTATATCTCCACTTCCAAGTGGAATTTCAAAAATGTATGTAGCCTATGTTACTTTCAGGCGATGTTGCAGTATACCTGCAAATTTTCAGGAAAATCTGTTCAGCGGTTTTCGAGTCCATAAATTACAAACAAACAAACAAACAAACAAACAAACAAACATACAAACATTTTCCTCTTTTATAGATATAGATTCTCTTTAAAGGGATAAAGTACTCCCAAAGAACTCCTTCTGTGGATTTTCAGACCATTCCATCGGAAAATGTGGCTAAAATCATCCTTGTGTATGATTCCAGATAATTCCGTTGAAAAATTTGGCTAAAATCATCAAAATATCGAGGGGTACCGTTATATGGGGGCTATAAGATATCATGAGCCCATATAGATAATTCTCTTCCGAGGTATATAGTACCCACAAGTAACTCCTTGTGTGGATTTTCAGACAATTCCATTAACAAATGTGGGTAAAATCTTCTAAATACCGAATATGGGGGTACCGTTATATGGGAGATATACGATATTGTGGACCTATAAAGACAATTCGCTTTTATGGGTATAAAATACTCACAAGGGACTTCTTCTGTGGAATTTCAGACAATTCCATTGAAAAATGTGGCTAACATCATCAAAATACCGAATATCTTCGAACTTGACCTGCCTGCAGACAAAAGAGCGTAGCGTGATTACAACAGACGGACAGACGGACGGACAGGGCGAAATCGTCTTAAAATTTTACGCTGATCAAGACTATATATACTTTGTTGGGTCTAAAATGATTATTTCGATGAGTTACAAACGGAACGACGAAATTAATATACCCTCCATACTATGTATGGTGGAAGGTATAAAAATTATTTCCCAAATTATATGGAAATCGGTTCAGATTTAGATATAGCTCCCATATTCATGTTCGGCCGATTTCATGTATTTGGTGCACCAAACACGATATGTATCTCCAATTTTAATTAAATTTGAAATAAGTAACGGAATTGGGAACAAAAATGAGTTTGTAAAATAATATTGAAATCGGTTCAGATTTGGATATAGCTCCCATATATATTTTCGGCCGATTTCACATATTTGATGCACCAAACACCATATGTATGTTCGATTCCAATGAAATTTGGAATGATTGACGGGATTTGATCCAAAAATAAATTTGTCAAATTATATTGAAATCGGCACAGATTTGGATATAGCTCCCATATATATTTTCTGCCGATCTCACATATTTGATGT